CTTCAAGTAGATAATTTTTGTTACAAATGGTTATTACTAGCACTAGTACTAAGCCTTCTGTTACTCTGCTAGTGACATTCCTGCAATCCAGTTTATTGCTTCATATCACTCCTCTCAACCTTTTATCTGTCAGGAATTTTTGTTGTTTTTATGACTGGAATTCCCATAGAACCTGTTTCAATACTCAACTGCAGCAGCAACATTACAATCTGTTCTTCATCAGGTGGCTTGACAGTTACCATAGCAATTCTGAATAGCACTCAGCCACCAAGTAGAATAAAAGCATAGTTTGGTCAGGTAAATTGTATTGTGGTAATATCTAGATTTTGTTATCAAGGTCTAAGATCTTGTTTTGTTTTTTCATAATATATTTAAAAATGATGCTTCTTATGCTGTGTCCAACGCAGACCAGCGTATTGAACAACATCATTTATATGACAGAGCTACTGAGATAATGCAAGGAAGATGACTGGACAGATTACATCAACATATCTAGTTCTAAAATACACATTCAATAGTGTCCAATTCAAAAAGTTGTTCTGGAAATTAGAACACATAGGAAGGGTGAAAGGCAGACCTACAACCATGAATGAAAAAAATGATAATGCATCAGAAACAATTTGTACTATTGAAAATATATTTAAACAAAAATGTGTAATTTACAAATGGTAAGAGCAAAACAAAGCACCCTCAGCAACAACAAGCTACGAAACCACGACAAAAATCTACACCATTAATTAATTTATGACGAGAAGATGTATACATGTGCGAGTATAATCAAGACCTACAAAAATACACTCACAGGCATTTGTCATTACTACCTCTGATTCTGATACAACTTAAGTCAAAATCACAGAATTGCACTTCTTGATATTGACTTCTTCAAAGTGGTCTGAGGAAGCAAAATACCAAAATTCTCAACAGGTTCTAACCACAACACGAAAAATACAAATTACTTGCCATATTCCTTAAAGGAATAATATTACGCCAATGTTAAAAGACAAAGAAAGGGTAAAACTAAAAGTATTTATACAAAATCTAGTGCTTGATAGGGTTGAACATCTGAGGTGGGTGCCAATACAATGTTTACATTATAACAAACTTTCATTGTTGATAATTTGCACAATACAATGTTTACATTATAACAAACTTTCATTGTTGATAATTTGCAATCTATTTGGCATGAAACAAAACTTGGATTGAATTCAAGTCCAACATAATCTTCTGAGAGCTGTATAAAGCTGTACGTACTGTGTAAGGGAACCCAAAATATATATGGAAGAGTCAGGCAATCCCATTTCATATTACACGCATTCCAAGAGAAGTAAAATGGGAAATTATATCAATAAATGATATGAATCTCTATATAAAGAAAATAACTAGGAACACAAGATCACACAAAGATGCTTTTAGATGTTAGACATTCAGGTATTATCTTTTAAATTAAAAATATGGAAAAAATAATGTTCTACTGATTTGAATTTTAAGAAAACAATAAAAGATCTAACATTTTCTTGTCAGAACAAAAGATCTATTCACCTCACCACAGCACCAATGAGAAAACATTTCAAATCTTATTTAAGAATTGCAAAAGATGATCCAAAAATCAATTCACGTCACAACGAAATCGAAAACAAAGATAAAAAAATGTGATTACATTAAGAAACAATAATAAATGATGTATGTTTGAATTTGCAACCACCTTAAGCAATCTAACTATCCACTCTAATTAGCTTGCTGTGACCCACCCTTACAATAGTTGGTACTTTACATATATAATAATAATTCACCAATTTTTCCACAATGCAGTCATAGGAAATGATATTCCATGATAAAAGTACAAACCAATGCTTGCCACTGAACATCCAGATAATTGGACAATAATCTTAGAAAGAAATGTCCTTTAACTATACGAGCAATTAAATGCAAAATTTGCAGAAAGAAATGAACATATTACCAAATTTCTACAATCAACACCATCTAAAAGATGGGGTGATATCATATCTGTACTGTAAACAGCACAGTATGTAATAATGTGAATAAAAAGGAATGAAACTCATTGAATACCGAGAATTATTTTACAACCCTTAAATATGATCCAGTGATCACATTCTATTTACACATGTTACTGATTTAGGGGTGACCATGACCCGATGTACCTCAGCTATACGGGTTCAGAAAAGGTTGAAAGGGGGATTCTATTTACATATTTAGCTTATTTTATACCATCTGTGGCAATACACCTGATCTATTAGGCATTTTTCCAAAGCAAATAGCTATGCCCTCTTCAAAATATCGGGTAATTTGTTAATGAGCAAAAACAATTCAATTTTAATATGAACGACCTAATGATTGCTGATAATGTACAGCATATTTTATGTCGCAGGCACCAGAGGGTAACATATGCAGCAGCATGGCATGGCAAGAGCGTTTGGACCATGTTTTTCATAAATTGTCTGAAAGTATCACTGAGAGAGTCCCAAATGTGGACTAAACTTTCTTTAAATGCATAAAATATATATTATCTTCTTCCTAGGTATGAAAGTCTATATTATATCTGTTTAGCATTGTACGGTTTAGAAAGTAATACAGTGCATAAAAATAAAAAAAAAATTTGTCTGACAGCAAAGACAGTCTTAAAGTCTGATAGTGTAAATTAAGATGAATAAATAAGACTTATAACCAAGAGAAAATTAGGAGGAATGCTAGTGAAGAGGCATAGGGTAAAAATAGAATGATTCAGAGAAGAATAGGAAATGTTTGGCGAGCTTCGTGAATGGAAAAAACAGGGAAACAGGGATATACGAGATGCTGGCATGGTGGATTATACCTGTTCAATTTTTTTTTTTTTTACCATATTGAAGTACAGTTGGTTTAGTAATGCATTTTAACGAATGGTACATAATGCCCTTATTATATCTATTAAATGCGCCATAATTTTACAAAAGAATAAAGAATTGTTTAAGAATTTATCTTACACAGCATTAAATTTAAAAGATGGTGTATTGATCAATCTATCATCCATATGTCTTTTTAAATGAATGAATTGGCAATGAAGCCTTAAGTGGAGAAAAAACACAACTTTGTATATAAATTTAGATTAATCTTATACAAACTTAGCTCTCATTACTAGGTAAATTTGTAATAAGTTTCTTTGGGGTCGTCTGTATGTATCATGTACGTCTTCTTGCATACTTCCAGCAGGGTGTGTAATACAGCTTCCACTCCAGATGGGTATGATGGATGGATGAATGGACAATGGTAGTTAGGTTTGGAACCAAGTGCTAAACGTGTGGGTTACTGAGCACTACTTCAGACAGGTAGTGCATCATCACCGAACCCGAGTCCAAGATCTAACCACAAAGACGGCAATACTTGTTTTAAGACTTTTTCAGGCTTATGCAGGAATTCTATATAGGCAAGCAGGCAGCACTTAATTTAACTAAAAATAATTTTATGCAAAATAATTATAGAATGCTTCAGCAAGAACAGTACAAAAAAAAAGCAGCAGTGAAACAGAAAAAATGAAACAAGTGTACATATATAAAAGATAAATAAATGCAACAAAGAGACAGTAGTGATAACTGAAGCCTTGCATGTATGTATAGCAAGTCCAGCACAAGGCTTGTATGTATGTTTAGCAAGTCCAGCACAAGGCTTGTATGTATGTTTAGCAAGTCCAGCACAAGGCTTGTATGTATGTTTAGCAAGTCCAGCACAAGGCTTGTGTGTATGTCAAGAAAGTCCAGCAATGGTGTAATTTGATTACAATAATGGATTTCTTTGCATAACTGTATCATATTTTCTTGCAGTTATCATGACCCCCCACAAATATGATGTGATAACTAAAAGCATTACTGCAAGATTGAAGTTATGTGCAGCATTCTAGTAATTTGTTAATTACTGCACTCTGCACTATATAGGTTACGTTCCAAACAACAATCAATGGTTGTGAGTTTGGTTATTAAAAGTGGGAGTAAATATTATTAACAAAAATATCAGAGAGCCTGTTATCAGTGAGAATAAGGAGAGCCTGTTTGAAACAGGAGTGCCTGTTATAAACTACAGTGAGTGCCAGTTAAAAATGGCAGTGGAAGTGTCAATTATAATAGTGGGAGTGGCAGTTATAAAATACAGTGGGAGTGGCAGTTCTAAAATAAATAAAACAGTACCTATGAGAATTAGTGCAGCATTAAACATGGGGATTTGCAAGCAGACCACAAGAAGGATTAAAAACAGGTTTAATATTTACTAAGAACCTTTTAAACAGATGGAGAATCAAAAATCAAATATGTCAAATAAGAGATTTGAAAGCAGAAAAACTGCCATATCGTCATTAGCTGCAAACAACATAAATGTGAGTTAGAAGGTAAGGCAAAGTTTTATGACAGGGGGTTGTGTAATGCATACATATTCAGGTGACAAATTAACCCCTTAAACTGCAGCAGTGAGGAAGGCAAAAATATCTGTAATGGACCTTCTGAAAAGTTATACGTGAAGATGTGAGAGTAAACTGAATGAACAAGAGGAAACCACAGAAAGACACAGCAGACTGACAAGAGTAAGCAAAATGTTAAATACTGATGACTTATGAATATTAAGAAGAAAATTCAAATTAGGAGAATATAACAAAAGAGGCAGGTATGAACACACGATAAGGCAGTACATACTGAAGATGACCAAAAGTATGGTGGGATAAAAGAGTGACAAGATTCTAAAGAAACAAGAAGAAGGTGATAGAGAAGGAGGTGAAGGAGGAGGAGGTTTAGCATGGCAGATCCTGCTGGAAAATGGAAAAGGATCTATAGAAAACTTGAGTAATTTGATTTGAACAAATATTTTTCTTCTTTTGGCAATTTTTTTGTGCTGACAGACTTCAAAAAAGATACCTGTATCGAGTTACAGTATAATGAACAGTGACCAGTTACATGACTTTTATAGCTTGCAATACAAAACAGATGCCCCTTGCCACAACAGTGTAGAAGATCACGCCTATTTACCTTGATCGTAGAAGCTCGCTTTCATGAGAGATTGTGGAAATTAAATTTGTTGTTAGTTGTACAGCCACAAGAGTAATTTGGTGTATTTTAATTATGGGCTCAAAATAACAAAATTGGATATGAACTATTTTCTTAATTTAAGAGTGTCATTTACATTTAATCCAACTGTGCATTAGGTTATGACATCTCCAAAATGAATAATGAAATATTATATATATATATATATATATATATATATATATATATATATATATATATATATATATATATATATATATATATTTATATTTATTATTTATTTATTTCAAATGAATACACTGTGATCTGAGCTGGACATTATTAATAAGTATTATGCCATTTATACATAAAGTACTTTTCAAAATAACAGGATATTTATTGTGGTTTGCTATTCATTGAGTGTTCCACAACTGCTACTAAAACATACTGAAAATATTCTGTCAATGGCTTCTCACTTGATGATGGATTTTATTCCAAATAATACATTTCTATGGGGAGAGAGATGTGCACAATTTACCTTAATTTTAAAGAGAAATCTTAAGATATTTTTTTTTTAGTGTTTTAAAGAGGCTGATATGAATTCAAATATTTTAATTTGGACTCTACAACAACAAAAAATAAATAAAAAAAGGCAAGTGTTATGAGTAGTATGACTGGAATATTGGATATCTGTGCCGGGAATACTGGATATCTATGGTGATGGGAACATTGGATATTTATGACAAGAGCACTGGATATCTATGATGATGGCAACTCTGAATATCTATGATGATGGGAACTCTGAATATCTATGATGATGGAAACACTGGATATCTGCAACGATGATTATGATGGGAATGGTGGATATCTATGATGATGGGAACGCTGGATATCTATGATGATGGGAATGCTGGATATCTATGATGATGGAAACAATGGATATCTGATGACAGGAACACTGGACATGTATAATGGAAACACTGGATATCTATGATGAGAACTCTGGATATCTATGATGGAAATTTCCTGGTGTCTGTGATGGGAATACTGGATGTCTATGACAGGAATACTGGATGTCTATGACGGGAATACTGGATGTCTATGATGGGAATACTGGATGTCTGTAACGGGAATACTGGATGTCTGTGATGGGAATACTGGATGTCTATGACGGGAATATTGGATGTCTGTGATGGGAATACTGGATGTCTGTGATGGGAATACTGGATGTCTATGACGGGAATATTGGATGTCTGTGATGGGAATACTGGATGTCTGTGATGGGAATACTGGATGTCTGTGACAGGAATACTGGATGTCTGTGACAGGAATACTGGATGTCTGTGATGGGAATACTGGATGTCTGTGATGGGAATACTGGATGTTTGTGATGGGAATACTGGATGTCTGTAACGGGAATACTGGATGTCTGTGATGGGAATACTGGATGTCTGTGATAGAAATACTGGATGTCTGTGATGGGAATACTGGATGTTTGTGATGGGAATACTGGATGTCTGAGACGGGAATACTGGATGTCTGTGACGGGAATACTGGATGTCTGTGATGGGAATACTGGATGTTTGTGATGGGAATACTGGATGTCTGTAACGGGAATACTGGATGTCTGTGATGGGAATACTGGATGTCTGTGATGGGAATACTGGATGTCTGTGATGGGAATACTGGATGTCTGTGATGGGAATACTGGATGTCTGTGACGGGAATACTGGATGTCTGTGATGGGAATACTGGATGTCTGTGATGGGAATACTGGATGTCTGTGATGGGAATACTGGATGTCTGTAACGGGAATACTGGATGTCTGTGACAGGGAATACTGGATGTCTGTGATGGGAATACTGGATGTCTGTGACGGGAATACTGGATGTCTGTGATGGGAATACTGGATGTCTTCCGAGATATATTCCATCAAACTGTCCTTTGAAGGATACGAATGACTGGAAAATATCAAAGAGCAATCACAAGTTAAGACTGGAGGAAGAAATCAAATATATTAGTTTGTATTATTTGTGTTATTAAAATGTGCAATACTGCCTTCAGAATACTGGATCATAAGTATTCACAACTAAACAATTGATGGAATTTAAATGATTCTCATCTATTTTGTAAGCCATGCTGAAAAAAAAGGGGAAAAAAAAAGAGGGAGTTAGGAAATAAATCAGCCTCAATATTAAATGAAAATAATGTCACGTACCATCTGATCCCCCTCAATGTAACACAGCATTTACACAAAGGATGGAATTATTCTATAACCTGTCAGCAATATGAAGAATTTTGATCAACCATAATTTTATACTTCTCATTGATCTGCATAATATCACTAATCTAACAGCTTTTCAAGTTTACGTTGCTGATATCATGTGAAACTTTCTTGATTATACACAACACTGACAAAACCACATAAAGCTATATTTGAAAGTCACTTTCAGTTTTTATCTACAATGAAAAAAATTATTTTCTGAAAAACTAAACTGAAACAACTGCAAAAATAATACAGTACAGTATAGGGTAATAACAGAACAAGAGTTGTAAAACAAGTGAATAGGTTTGACCATCAGTGCAATAAAGGCAGGTCATTGCTAATTATGATCACTATTAGTTCCCCCTACATCTGAGCAAAACTGGCAAGCTGTTGAAAGTTATTATCAGATCAGTATTGATTCAAACAAAATGGCCAGCTGCTGTTAGTTATGATGTCACCATTATTGACCCCACATCTGAGCAAAAATGGCTGGCTGCTGACAATTATGATCAGAACAGTATTGACTCATATTATTGTATGACCTTGAGATGTCTTGCCCTATTTTATAGCTGTATTGCATCCACTTTACTGCAATGGAAGATGGCATAACAGGCATTATCTTCATTTAATAAAACAAATTATAATCACATGGGGTAACTTTCAAGTCACAAAACTAGAATTAGGATTAAAAAGAACGCTGGACAATGTTGAAAAGAATGCTTCATGTCACGTTTTATGCAGCAATGGTTACAAAGCCATCCTGGGTCCTTGATAAAGTGATCGTGTCTCGATTAAAATGTCTTACCACAAAGCAGTATAAACAAATCTGCACAGTCTAGAGATGAGTAGTAAACTAAGAAGTGAAGGGACAATACGCTACGAATACCAAGGGTCGAAAATATAAACTAAATTATAAAGTACACAAAAATAGAGAAACAATGAAATATAGTATGAGGAAAGAAATGGAAGAAATAGGAGAATAAACTATGAGAAGAAGGGGGAGGAAATGATCTCTGCTAGTACTCACAGAAGTGGTTCCCCGGGCCTGCATAATGATGTCCCTTGTATGCCGCAAACAAACCTGGATTTATTCCGATCTGGAATGGGAATTTAGAAATCTTCATGTTACCATGATTAAACTGTTCATCCGGGCACGGGCCCATTGGTTGGCTTCAAAATTTAACAACTGTTGCAGCCTCACTGATAAGTATCACAGCTTATTCTTTATGAAATTACCTCAAAGTGATGCTTTCCAATGCTAAAATTTTCAATATAATATTTTAGCTAGAAGCTAATTACTGCCTGTAAACTACAGTAGAATGTACACAAATTTTAAGAACATATTACTCACCAATTAAATTAATTAATATTTATATACTATAAATAATTCACTTTATAAACACTACAGTATTTATACTGTTTAATTTAAATATTGTGAAATACAGTACTGTATACAGATATTTTCTTCAGCACTACAAAAATACAATGAGGCTGTCCAGTGGTGTATATTAACCCCAAAGCCATTTATCCAGTCTATGTATAATGGCATCATATAATTCAAGAAAATTCAGTTAAGAAGACTCAGTGCTAATATTCAAGGAATTGCAATAATGATACAAGTTATATTCCAATAGAAATTATGTGAACACAGTCTGAAGCTTGAGGTGATCCAGCCACATACAGACTGATATGAACAGCACTTGAGGGGTTAAGATGATTGCTTGGTTGAGATCAACTATCTTCTGTGATACTCACAATGACTATATCCAGGTTGGGACTAAGGTGATCTGGTAAGGTTTTCTTAGTTACTTCTTCTTCAGGAATACCGTCAAATCTGTCGACCTTCTTCCTTTGCTTTATAGGCGCTAGGACTGGTTTGCCGTCGGGACCAAGTTGCTTCCACTTTCGCTTTTTGGCCTCGTGGGCGGCTTGAGCAGCAGCTATTGCTAATGGGTCACCACTGTAAAGGAATAATAATTCAGTTTTCCAAGAAAATATCAATATTTTCCTAGCAAAAGTTTTAATTTCAAGCCTTTCAATGCTGATAAGCACAATTAAATTCCCAGTGCCATGTTTCATAGAAACTTAAAAATATATATACTGTATATATATTCAAGATATACAGAATTCTAGAACTCAATTTTCTACATAAAAAAGCAGAGACACTTTCCAATGTACAACTTAATGATCACTTAAATGATGCATTAGCTTGCACCTTCCTAACTCAGAATAGCCTATATATAAACAGGTACTGTACAGTATGTACAAATTTCTTATAATATTAGTATTTAATTAAAATTATATTTTACTGGTTCATATTACTAAAGTTTTATAAACCTTTAATCTCATATCCAGCTTAGATACACAAATATTTATTGTATGGTGAGACATCGTTCGTCTCTGTCAGCAAAATATATTCTGAAATTTTCACCAGAATCATGGTAAGACACGACAAAAGGAATGGAATTGGTGCCACATGTCTTAGTATCCCCTCCCCCAACAAATCTGGAAAAACGACATTGATAACACTGATTTAATGTTACTCAAGTATTTTGTCCGCTGGGAATTTTCTTGATGTCAAATAGCACAGTTTATGCCAATGTAAATACAGGACATAAAGCTCTCAAATTTTATATTTTTGACAAGAAACAACATTCCTCCTAGTCCAATAATTGTATATCGAGGTGATTTATTTAAATATGTATCATATACATAATACTGTAACCATAAAATTCTGAGTAACTTTTACATGGTATACAGTTAAACCCTAACAAATTTAGAATTAAAAATACTGAAAAATATTAATAAAATTTGGGTGAAAAATTTGGATCTACTTGTCATTGTTAATACTAGCTGACCAATCATTTTTTTTCATACATACTAGTCTTTTGAATTTAGTAGTCAATATAAATATAAAAAAATACAGCTGTGTTACAGAAATTACTGAACCCAATCTGTATTACAAATTATACAACACAGTCAGAAGATGTCATTGTTTTGATGTGGGTGTCCTAGTCCTATCAATACAATATGGACCTGTTCTAGTCATCAGTAGACAGGACAACATTGAGGTACCGGTGCCATGTGGAACATTTCAAATTTCATAAGGTTATAGTCATTCTTGGGAGCAATGGAGGGTATCCAACTAAAGTGAGCAGTAGAAAGCCCAAATCATGCACACTAAACAGTTCTTTAGAAGCCCTAATTTGAAACCATGAGATCACCAATGAGCACCATAAGCAAATTACTGGATGGTTCGTCCTTGCTGCATGGTGCAATATGGAGGAGTACTGCAAAGCGGTCCGTCTAATTACAAAAAGCTACCCAAATCTAATGAAAACTACCCAAGGCTTCCTAGTATTACGTAAGTGATGAAGAAATATGATATATTTACTCACTATAACGTTGGTACTGAAGGTAAAACATGAAAAAACATATTTTTACTCTGAAATAATATAAGTTTATAACAAAATTAGACGAAACAAAGTCGCATGAGAGGCCATAGGAAGTTGACGATCCAAGCGACAATGTTGTGGAACGACTTATCCAAGATATATTGTTGCCTACAGGTTATATTAAGTTAGGTTTGGATAGGTTAGGTTTTGTTAGGTTATGTTTGGGTAGGTTGATTAGGTTAGGTAGGTACAGAAGGCTCATATGCCAGCAAACACTCTCCAAGCAACAATGTGTCTTGGATAAGTTGCTCCACAACGTGTCGCTTGGACCATCGACTTGCTTTAGCGTCACCAGCAGCTTATTTTCATCTAATTTTATTGTGAAATGATACTTTTTCTGAGTAAAAATATGTTTTTTTCCATGTACTACATTCAGCACCAACATTATAATGAATAAATATATCATATTTATTCATTACTAACGTAAAGTTAGGAAGCTTTGGGTAGCTTGTTAGGAAGCTTTGAGTAGCTTTGAGTAACTTTGGATAATTAGACAGGACCCCTGCAAAAAGTTACATGGTCCTCATAGTCATGCATTTGTTTCCAGCCTTTTCCCTGATGGGTGTTCAATGGTTTTCACATTTACTTTCATGATATCTTTGTTGTATGGGTGAAGACTTGTTGGACACTTCATCTTGGCAAGCTACTAATACAGCAGTTGCCAAGTTGTGCACTTACGACTGATAAGTATCATTGATGGAGAGCACAATTAGTGGATTTTGAGACTGTTCTACTGGCTCCTCGATTCTTTAAGGTGAGCTCATTGCTTCAATTTAAGAGTCAAATACTGAAAAACAAGAAAGCCTCTGAATGGTGCACCTCATCTGTCACTTTCCTGTGCAGTTCTCTCTCCCTCTTCTGATCATGTGATCCAAGAAACAGTAGCATTTCTCTTATACTGACACTGGTTGATAGAAGTTGAAGGCTGGGAAGGTGCTCTACCTATGCCCCAAAGGGTTGTAATGCTGGCAGAGACTGGCCCTTGACCAGAGCTCTCAGCTTTCCGTACTTTCCGAAGAAAGAAGCTGTCTTGTCAACTTGCCTCAGTTTTCCTCCTTGGATGTGCAGCATGGTGTGGCTCAATGTTGGGTTCAGAGGTGAACACTTCTTGTTGGGATAGATGATCTGCAGGATCCGATGTATAGTTTCTACATGGTAAGATTCTACATGGTTTCTATTTAACCCATTGCGGTATGGTATAAAAGCCATACAGTATAAAGTTCATCCCTATGTGCAAGACAGTATGCCAGCAGATATATTTTATATATATACTTTTTTATTTGCTTTATTCAATATATATAGATGGTACCACCTCTGGTAGTTTGTAATGACCCTCAATCCTCAAAGAAGATGATATGCAGCACCCGGGGGAGCCTTTCGTGATTTACACACATACAGTACTGTGTATATAAATATATAAATATATAAATATATAAATATATATATATATATATATATATATATATATATATATATATATATAAATATATATATATATATATATATAAATATATATATATATATATATATATATATATATATATATATATATATATATATATATATATATATATATATATATATATATATATATATATATATATATATATATATATATATATATATATATATATATATATATAGGGGGTACCACCACTGGTACAATTGTAGGGACCCATAGCCTCGAAGAAGAAAATAAAGAGTATTTAGGGAAGACCTTGTGAATTCTCACTAAACACTTTAATATTTTCTTCACCTACCATCCCTATTATTTTTTTTATTTTTATTTTTTTATTACAGTGTAAAATATATATATATATATATATATATATATATATATATATATATATATATATATATATATATATATATATATTATATATATATATATATATATATATGTATATATATATATATATATATATATGTATATATATAATAAAATATAAATAAAAAACAAAATAAAAAGTTTTTTCCAATAAAACCACTAGAAAATCACTTTCTATAAATGTATGATTAAATATACTAAAATGTTTTTTTCCACAAAATATCCTTGTAAATTGGGTACATTTTATATGATAACAAATACATGAAGTAATTATTACCTAAGTGTAGTTACAGGATGTGTGCTACATTTGTGGCATCCCTTCTTCTGAGTACTCTTTGTCATATAACACTATAAAACTATTGACAGTTTTAGCCTCCACCACCTTCTTACCTAACTTCTTCCAACTGTCTACCACTCTGTTTGCAAAAGTGAATTTTCTTATACTGTATTTATTCGGCATCTTTGTTTAGTTAGTTTAGGTCTATAACCTCTTGTTCTTGAAGTTCCAGGTTTCAAGAATGCTTCCCAATCAATTTTTATTGATTCCGTTACTATTTTCTATGTAGTGATAATTGTTCTTCTATCTTCTAGATTTGACATGTTTAATGCCTCTAACCTCTCCTCGAAGCACTTGTCCTTCAGTTCAGTGCAGTGGGAAAAGTATATTGGCAGTATAGTGATTAAAAGCATATACAAATTTGCTAAAAATTCTGGTCAGTGATGAAAAATGAGGGTTTACTGAGGTGTTGGGTGTGTAGATCAGGCAGTTGCAATGAGACAGCTTGAAGAGAAAGAATAATGGTGAAATTACACAAGGGTATGTTATGGGACAAAGCTGTGTAGAATTTGCTTGAAAGTGGTATGTACATGCACTGTTCAGTATATGAGAACTTGATTGGGAACATTACATATAGGAGATTAAAAAGCAGCCGAGTGCTACTGTGTTGGTGCCTTTTTTTCATTATGCTATATACTATAGTGTGGATACAGTATTATAATAAGTGTTGAGTACATTTTTGGTGTTTTTTTAATCTATATCCTCCTTTAACTATTTTGTTCCCCATTTTCTCTAGGCTCGTTTCTTCTCACCACATGAAAATGGGAAATATTTTAATTATTTGTTATAGATTTGATGAAGAATTCTGTTGTCATTTTAGATAACATGTATGCATGTAATTACTAGTGATTTTATATGGTTTTATACATTATTAACTAGTGTGCTATAACAATTTATTCCCTAGTAGCCAGAATGCACTTTTTGCCCTACTATGCAAGGCCCAATTTGCTTAATATGTCGAGTTATTTATTTTATTTTCAATAAATTGTTTCCAATTAGTTTATTTAAATTATTATTATTATATTATATTAGAAACATAAATTATTGATGTAGTTGTGTTACTTTAGATTAGCTTTAGATAGGTTAGGTTAGGAAGGGTTGGATAGGTTCGGTCATGTATCTACGTTAGTTTTAACTCAAATTTAAACAAATTAACCTATACATAATGAAATAGCCAGATTTATCATTTCATAAGAAAAAAAATTAGAAAAATATATAAATTCAGGAAAACTTGCCTTATTAGGCAAATCGGGCCTGGCATAGTAGGCCGAGTACGACATTCTGGCTACTAGGTACAACACACACACACACACACTATATATATATATATATATATATATATATATATATATATATATATATATATATATATATATATATATATATGTTCTGTATATTTATTACAACAAGAAATTAGTTTACAATTTATATGATTTGGCCATGAGGATGTTAAAAAAACAAAGTATTGGCTGCCCTACAAGTGACTGTGGGAGTTTATAATTCAGACGGCAGCTAGTCATCATCCGCTGTCTTTCTGTTTCACCGGCACTGACGGACCAGTGGTAGAGCACAAGTTTGCTACTGGCAGGGGCATGAACATGCCCACTCAAAAGGCCAGGTGCTTGTTTATATATATATATATATATATATATATATATATATATATATATATATATATATATATATATATATATATATATATATATATATATATATGTCGTACCTAGTAGCCAGAACTCACTTCTCAGCCAACTATTCAAGGCCCGATTTGCCTAATAAGCCAAGTTTTCCTGAATTAATATATTTACTATAATTGTTTTCTTATGAAATGATAAAGCTACCCTTTTCACTATGTATGAGGTCAATTTTTTTTTATTGGAGTTAAAATTAACGTAGATATATGACCGAACCTAACCAACCCTACCTAACCTAACCTAACCTATATTTATAGGTAAGGTTAGGTTAGGTAGCCAAAAAAAGCTAGGTTAGGTTAGGTTAGGTAGGTTAGGTAGACGAAAAAACATTAATTCATGAAAACTTGGCTTATTAGGCAAATCGGGCCTTGCATAGTAGGCTGAGAAGTGAGTTCTGGCTACTAGGTACGACATATATATATATATATATATATATATATATATATATATATGTCATACCTAGTAGCCAGAACGCACTTCTCAGCCTACTATGCAAGGCCCGATTTGCCTAATAAGCCAAGTTTTCATGAATTAATTGTTTTTCAACTACCTAACCTACCTAACCTAACCTAACCTAACTTTTTCGGCTAACTAACCTAACCTAGCCTATAAAGATAGGTTAGGTTAGGTTAGGTAGGGTTGGTTAGGTTCGGTCATATATCTACGTTAATTTTAACTCCAATAAAAAAAATTGACCTCATACATAATAAAATGGGTAGCTTTATCATTTCATAAGAAAAAAATTAGAGAAATTATATTAATTCAGGAAAACTTGGCTTATTAGGCAAATCGGGCCTTGCATAGTAGGCTGAGAAGTGCGTTCTGGCTACTAGGTACGACATATATATATATGTAATTAAATAACTGGCTCCCCTCTGGCAATCGAGGAGCTCAAGCAGATTCAGAATCTTTTAACCATTTATTGTAATCCTTTATAGCCAAATCTATTTTATCTAATAGAGCAACAAATAAAACAAATTGGGTCCAAGAAGAAAATAATGATATGCATTTGTAATAACCTCGAAGGTTCCTTCAAATGCAAATTACAATTAACTCTTCTTTGTGATTAAAGGTCCTTATTTAAACCAGAGGTGATACCACATTATTGTGTATATATATATATATATATATATATATATATATATATATATATATATATATATATATATATATATATATATATATATATATATATATATATATATATATATATATATATATATATATATATATATATATATATATATATATATATATATATATATATATATATATATATATATATATATATATATATATATATATATATATATATATATATATATATATATATATATATATATATATATATGCACACACACATATATATATAAACAGTCATTTACCTGTTATCCGACCCGGTTGAGCCAGTTGGGCCAGTTGGACTTGGTTGGATTTCTGGACGTTCCATCCCCAAATACGTACTGTAAAATTTGTAAGGTTCTCACCAAAAAAGAATTTTTAAGTGCCGTACATCAGCATTTTTACAGCAGTGTACTCTACATGAGTAATTTTACAGTTAGATTTTGAAAGTAATGTACAGTACAATATTCATTTCTTTTTTAATTAATAAATTATATTTTTCAAGTCACTTTTTATTTATAATGAAAAAGACTGAAGGGGTTGATGGAGTGAACATTTGTATAAAACGCACGAGAAACAGGTTGTAATTGGCGGACATGGCAGACTGCATTATAGAATTAACAGTATTTTTTAAATTGAATTTTTTTAGGTGCATTTTCAAAGATTTATTGTTTTCACATTAATACTGTATTGTATTTAGAATTTCCTATATTTGTTTTCTTTATTAATAATGAAATATAATGAATGGATTAATGTTGTAGAAATGTATATTTTATTATACTGTATATATATACTGCATATATATATATATATATGTATGTGAGAAAGCGGCATGAACGCGCAAGCCATAGATTACTAAGAACTCTATTTGACCCGGCCAGGATTCGAACCCATGCCGTCCAGAATCTCCCCTAAAAGTACACAGTACCGTGACCACCGCACCAATGACGATCATTGGTGCGGTGGTCACGGTACTGTGTACGTTTAGGGGTGATCCTGGACGACATGGGTTCGAATCCTGGCCGGGTTAAATAGAGTTCTTTGTGATATAAATATATATATATATATATATATATATATATATATATATATATATATATATATATATATATATATATATAGGCATATTACATATATATACGCACATATACACAAGAAATGTAAATGAAGTGATGGCCACCGGCACTCAGCAGCTGTTTACCGTAAAACGCATATATTTTTGGCTGCTTCTTGAAATGTATGGCAACACATTATCAGTACTGTTAGCCAACATATTTTACAAATGTTTAATAACTCAATATTAATTTGTGAATGACTGCTGACACTAAAGCAAACAAGTGCAACACCTATGCATGTGGGATGCATCTTTCGAGGCCAACTGGGTAATTACCTAGTCTTAACTGGCTAGGTGTATAACAGGTAGATGACTACATGTACACTATGTGTGCATATACTGTATATATATATATATATATATATATATATATATATATATATATATATATATATATATATATATATATATATATATATATATATATATATATATATATATATATATATATATATATATATATATATATATATATTTTCTGTATCTGATGAAGAACACAAAAGAACGCGTTATTTTTTTTTTCATTCTTCTGTAGTTCTTTGCACTTGTATATTCCACATTGTGTGATTTTTGTCATATAAATGACTGCAAATGGAAAAATTACCTACAATACCCAAATAATTAACTGGATAAATAATTTAAAAAGGTAAAACAAGAAAATACTTATATTCACTTATATTTGAATTGCATTCATGTAACTTCAGTACTGTATTTATTTTCCAATTGAAGCCCTAAAAACTATATCCACTTTAAGTCAATTTCCCGAGGGTCTTTAGTTCCATCGGCCCGGATAATAAATCAGTGACTGTATATACACATATATTCACACAAACATAATCAGGCATAGAATAATAGAACATCTGGAGAAAATAGAATTCATAGCCAAGACATAACAAATGTTCTGGGAATGAAAATAAGTCCTAACAGAGCTAATTCATTTCTAAAACATAGTGACCTAAATAAGACAACACTATGAGAGATGGGTGCATTACATCTTCCTTGACTAATAACAAAGTATGAAAAGTTCACAAACATGCAACAAATGGAGTCCATAATAAAGAGATATGAACTGTGAGAAAAGTACAGTATTAAAGATTCAAATATGCCCAAATTGGAAGACATGAAAATGAGGGGCTACAATAACATACAAGTTTCTACAAGGTAAAAGAAAAAAGTTTTTATAAACTAGAAAGCACATCTAAAGGTCATAATTGTAAACTGCAGAAGAAAAGATGTAGATAGACAAAAAAAAAATTTAAACAATTGTGGGGGAAAAGGGTAATAGGATGAACTTTTTACCAATCGAGTAGTGTAGAGTTGGAACAAACTCGAGGAGGAGATCATGTCTGATAAAACTACTTAAAGTTTTACAACTCATTATGATCAAATTTACAAAGAAGACAGGATGCCATGAGCAAAGCTCTACCAATACTTACAAATTAGGTAATATCACACAGACACATACTAATAAACAATGATATTGAACGAACATGTCATACTCACTATGACATGATCAGAGCAGAACAAATAATTGCAAAAATCAAAGGAACAAATGCTTGCAAAATAATCAAACTTTTTGGTGTGGCATAAAGTGGTGTAAACTATTGAATACAGTAAGGTCCATCCTCAGCTTGATAGAGGCTGAGGATGGACTCAGCATGAAGAATAATCTAGAAAGTCCTGTAATGGGATCGAGAATTCAAATCTGTTCCGAGGAACTTTGTTTGCAAAAGGTGTAATCAAAGCATTTTAAACTGCCGTTAAAATCTGCCCCGAAGTGACGACTTCCACTATACTATTTACAAAAATAGTACAGTATACATATTTTAAATAATTATAAAAGCTGTCATTTACTGCATTCATAAGTAAAATAAAAAGCGTATGTAATGAAGCAACAACACATGTGAAGTTAAAAGCTTTAAAAACTAGCATTGGACTAATTAATAATTAGGCCTACACTATTGCATGCATGTTGTGTCATGGAGCTAAACATTTCTTGAAATGTTTCCCTAGCCATTCTTAAGTTAAATACTGGGTCATATAAATAATCTCCCTTTATTAATTTTATTTCACTTATGGTTTTTGGGCCTTTTATAATGTGTTGAACCAGACTTGTTTTCCTGTTTTGCATCTCTGATTTGGAAGGAATTTTTAGGTACCTTCAATACAAATACTACAAAATTAAGCATAAATCTCACTATCATCCTTGGCTCCTTGCCTACCAACAAACTTACCCAGTAAAATTTATTAAGGAACTCACTTAGGAACCTGAAAATACTTCTTTTAAATTCAAGTTTCTCTGATGTATATCTTTTATCAGTCTCCTTCAAATCAAACTGAATTGCATATTTTATTTCTTGTAAGACATGATTACTCCTACTTAATAGAGGAATTTGTGTGTGTAATTACCCAACTGTAGTTACAGGACGAGTACTATGCTCATGGTGCCCTGTCTTCCCAGTGCGCAGTCATATGACTCTTTGAAACTACTGATGGTTTTGGCTTTCACTACCTTCTCAGTTACATGTAACTTGTTACAACTATCTACCACTCTGTTTGCAAAAGAAAACTTTAAATTTTTTTTTAATGTTTTTTTCAGTGTAATTACCTAAGTGTAGTTAGATGATGAGAGCTATGCTCGCTGTATCTTATCTTCCCAGTACTCTTTTGTCATATGACACTTTGAAAAACTACCGTTTTGGTATCCACTTCCTTCTTACTTAACTTGTTTGTCTCTGTATGTACTCACCTAGTTGTGTGTGTGTGTGTGTGTGTGTGTGTGTGTGTGTGTGTGTGTGTGTGTGTGTGTGTGTGTGTGTGTGTGTGTGTGTGTGTGTGTGTGTAAGTTTGTGTATTTTTTCAGAGCCACAGTTTAACTAACAAGACATGCTTCGTTCACTAATTGCTCTGCTTTTACACAAGTGATTTTCAATAACAAAAAAGATTTTTATCAACTTACCCATTTTCCATAAGTTTTATATGTTTTGGTTTGCGGCCTCTTCTTTTAGGTTGAGTTTGACCAAGGACTTCTTCAACAGGTCTGGGTGGTGGGCCACTGTATTCATCAACGAAACTGTAAGGATCGCCCTCACGGCCAGGAGGGCCTTCGTGACCCGGATGACCTTGCATGCCTTGTCCCATGTGACCACCCATTTGGCCATACTGACCATACTGACCATGCGTTTGGTCAGGGTATTGCCCCATATGATGGCCCATGTGTTGTTGGGCCATGTGTTGTTGTGGGTGTCTTGGATGACCTTGGTAGCCTGGGGACATTGGGGCTATGTCACCCATGCCCGGATGACTCTGGTAACCTTGGTAGTGCTGTTGGTGTTGCGGTTGGGTCTGTTGTTGAAGAGGGTATCCCATATGAGGTCCATTGTGAGGACCGAGTGGCCCATTATGTGGTCCATTGAGTGAAGAGCCATGCATGGATTCCGGGGTCATTGGGTGACTTTGATGGAGGTGGGAGTAGGGTGCATACGGGTCCTGTTCCTGTTTCACACCCCCAACCTGCCCCAACCCTGCATCTAGGGAGTCACCCTCATACCAGTCCTTCACTTCACCCTTCAGCTTACTGTAAGAAAAATATAACAATTAGGATTTTATATTAAAGATTATATCTATATGTATATGTACATTATATATAATATGTAATACCTAATAGCCAGAATGCACTACTTGGCCTAGTATGCAAAGCTCAATTTGCTTAACAGGCAGAGTGATTTTCATTTACTTTTTATTTATTTCAAATTGGTTTATTTGAATTAATATTATTATATTATATTAAGAACATGAATTACTGACTTAGTTATGTTAGGTTAGGTTAACTTAGGATAGGTTAGGTAGGTTAGTTTAGGTATGGTCATATTTCTACATTAGTTTTATTCAAATTAAAAAAAAACATATATAATATAATGGAAAACTTTATCCTTCCATAAGTAAAAATATTAAAAAATATGTAACTTCAGGAAAACTTGGTTTGCTAGGTAAGTTGAGGTTTTGTATAGTTGTCCAAGTAGCCCGTTCTGGCTATTAGGTAAAACACGTATATATGTATATATATATATTCAATCAGCCACATACTTTACAAATGCCTGTTATTCGATTGGGGTTTGTTCAGTTAAAAACGTTTGGATAACTGGTGGGGCAGGTAATCTGAATAAAAATGTGCAATATAGATGGGATGAGTGGTTAATTCTTATACAAAGTATTATATTATATTAGCAACACGAATTACTAATTTAATTCTGTTAGGTTATGTTAGGTAAGGCAGGTGATGTTTTGTCAGATTTCTATGTCAGTTTTGACTGAAATAAATAATAACTGCAATAGCTGTATATACTGTATAAGCCCAGTTATCCAGAACCCATCAAACTGGACCTTTGTGTTATCCAGCCAAAATAGAGTCCAAATTTTTGTTTGCCAAACTTCAACTTATCCAGACAGAAATCCAGATACCTGGGAATTTGACCAGATGACCATGAATGGCATTGGGGCAAGCTATTGAAGCAAGCAAAACTTTATTCTCATTTGGTAAGAACAGCAGGCCAAGGGCCTTCAACCACTGAAGCGTCACCAGAAAGCCAAGAGCCTTCAACCAGCGATGCTTCAGTAGATGGCAGTCAAAAGTGACCTTGCTAAGCTCATATACAGTATTTTAGTGTTGTGTTAGGTTTGTTAAATGAACATCTGAAGCCCTTCATCAATGAAGCAGACCAACTCCAACAAGGTAAGCTGAAATTTCTGTTGCCATGAAATTGTTTCAACACTAAGTACTGTACTGGTATGTGAAAATCCTCCCCTAACTATGTATAATATGTGTGTGTGGAAATATAATATATGGTGGTTGTGGCACAAAAAAGTTGAGAACATGTTCATTTCTCTAAGAATTCCTGCTTATCATGATGTCCAGCTTAATCAGTGAGGGGAAGGGCCCCATATAATCCAGATAAACAAGAGTAGACAATATAATAAATGAAAAACTTAATAATTCCACAAGATAAAATATTTGAAAAGTAAACATTTCAGGAAAATTCAACTTGTTAGGTTACTGTACTAGAGACAACATTATATCTATATTCTGCAAAAACAATCAATATCAATAGGAAATGCACACACAATTCAGAGAACAGGTTCAACTTCATGCATGAAATTATGATATAAAATGCTATTTTCCCTAAATAATATATTAATAGCCTCTAAAGTAACAGAGCATGAAGAAGACGAAGAAAATATATTCTTCAAATCATATTAGCTAATTTTACACTTAATTTAAAGTGCCATATCAGCTGATGGAAGCATACCCATCTTTTATGCTCTCGTGCATAAAGTATCAAGCTGACTGCCATGTATTGCTATTTAGAAAACCCAACACAGTACGGTAATAGTAAATATATAAAGTAAGAAAAAATGATGCCGGTGTTGCACAACTCTCAACATTTAACGACTTTTAGGCTTAATTGAGTTTCATCAAGTCTGATGAAGAGTGAAAGCATCCTAATAAATACATGCATACTGAAATTTGATTTAATTGTCTCTGATGGGTTCCCACGGAAACGCATAGCCACAGAGGATATAATTTCTGCCCTGTGTTTCATGCATCAATGAACCATTTATGCATAAAACAGATTTAAAAAGCATCCTTCAAGAATAAGCCCACTGTTCATCAACTACAGCATTTGATAAATTCTTATTAGAATTATTATGACTTATACTATATATATATATATATATATATGTGTTGGCACTGTACATCCTCGATCTTGAATATTGAGATTACAGTATATTTACCTTCTTCAGATTTAAGGGAGGTCTCCAATCACTAGCGCCTCATTGAAAATCCTAATTAACAAACAAAAAAGGGTTTCCTTGCAGCATGTTTTGGCAGCCCTGGTAATGCTGGTCTAGCTGTACAGTTTTTGTTACATCTAGTGTCTCCCTTGTGCCTTCTTTCCTCTTTAGTAATTGCTATACTACTTTATACTGTCCAATTTACTTAGTCATGTGTCATCTCCCACTCTTAGTCTAGTCTCGTTCTCTTCTGTAGACCTGAAACCTCTTTATTATGAACAAATCCACAAGGACCATGACAAGGTTTATTATCTTCATTATCTTTCTTTATCCTCTTTATTATCCTCACTTCATGCCATGTTGCTCTCCATGAGCACGCTTCCTTCTCTCTATAGTCAGATTATTGGATCTTTGATTGTTGTTTTCCTATGTGTGTAGGTCTGCAGCAGCTTTGACTAGTCTGTTGCTGTTGTCATGTGACATTACCTGAAACACTACCTTTCTGAATACCATATTTGTCAGTACACACGTGAGCCTGCAGGCTGCTTCAGGCAACAGGCTGTCAGACCAAGTTCTCACAAGCTTTCTTGGGAAGTAGAAAAACTCCCAGAACCCCACCCAGGTACAATCCAGGTACATATACGATGCACAAAATATTCAAAGATATTTTGTTCATTTTTTTTTTTTAGTATGTTTCATCATACTAAAGAGATTTTGCAAATGGTTTTATACTCTTGAGGTTATCTTGAGATGATTTTGGGGCTTAGCATCCCCGCGGCCCGGTCCTCGACCAGGCCTCCTTTTTGTTACACACCTCCAGGAAGTAGGCTGTAGCAGCTGTCTAACTCCCAAGTACCTATTTACTGCTAGGCGAACAGATGCATCAGGGTGAAAGAAACTATGCCCATTTGTTTCCGCCTCCTAGGATTGAACCTGGAACCTCAGGACTATGAATCCGAAGCGCTGTCCACTCAGCTGTCAGGATCCTCTGACAGCTGAGAGGATCGCGCCTGATACAACGCTTTGCCTGAGCGTATCTTGCCTGATACGGTAATAAATCTGGCCGAAAATTGAGAGAAAACAGTATCAGAGAGAGACTGTATTTTTTATCTGTCTTCTTACAGGTTAGGAGCATGTTCCTTTATGCTGGGAACACAATGGTGCACAAACATGAAGCTTGTCATAATAGTCTGTGACACTGAGAAGAGGAGCCAAGTCTACTAACCTACCGAGAGCAGCTTTTTGTTTGTCAAACGATCTTCTAATTTTCAACAATTCTTAGCAGTTTAATACGGAGCCTAATCATCCCAAGCTTTTAGAAGAGATTGGTGAGTAATAACTTTCAAGCATGCATACACTCTTATATCATATTAATAGATTACATAACAAGAAACGTGTATAATATTATACAGAATTTAAAATGCGGAAAAGGAAGTGAAGTAGTTGCATCAGTCTATGACTAATGCAATAATTTAAATTTAATCTCATATCTGCCAACCATATTAAAACAGATGTGACATTACCTAATTGGTAATCATTTTGTTTTGTTATGTAAATGACATAATACTTGCACAGTGCAATAATACAACCAATAATCTTTGTTATTGTACTAAGCAGCACTTGCTTACATGTTCAAATTATAAAATAATATGCCAGAGAAATTGTAAAATTACAGAAAATACAAAGGCCTCATTATTAAAATAAATATGGAGCATATGGAGACCATACAAGGGGATACAATATAGTATTGCTACAAAAGTATTATACTGGGAACATTGATGCATGCAACGTAAGACTGCGCCCATAAATCATACGAGGGATTAAAATAGACATGAATTTATTCCATCACCACCAAAATATTGTATTGTTTTTGTGTAAGAATATCAAAAAGAATAATGCACTATACAATTGGTCATTATAATATTTCCTTTAATAAATGTATCACTAGCTGTAACTAAAAATCACTGATGCTCTAAACATAATTTCCTTTGGTACAAGGTAAATATAAAGTCACTAAATAAAAACTTATTCTGATCTTCACTGAGCTCTTTCAGAATTATTGTACAGGTCTCCATATAATTACAAATTGTTGTACAGTCTTTATATTACTGACAAATCATTGTATTGATCTCTATGTGACAAGTCCCAGAGGTAAAATACTGTAATACAGTACAGTAATGTAATGACACACTCTAAAGACCAATAAAACAAACTAAATATTTCCTGCACACTCGCAAAAACTTGTAAATATTGCAGCTGGATCCCTTACTCTAAAATATGGGAGACGTGTGTTTATGTAAAACCATGAATTCTTTGCAACAAACCCTTGACAAATATGAAATTACAATATTACAAAGATAAAAAGATATGAAATAACTGGCTGGTTTTACGAAAAATTGATAATATTTGAGAAAATCATGTTACTGACATTTCACAATATGAAACTGTATGGATATACTGTACTTACAAAATATATTAAAAGGGTGGATAAAACTAGGAAGAAAAGAATTGAAATTGAAAAAAATAATTCACACTTATCAGGTTGAACTATGCTGTAAGATACTGTATGCAATATAGCATATTACTAATAAACCTAACTCAAGAAGAAGTGATTATATCACTTTCGTGTTCCAATGATGCTAAAAGAGTCATCCGTAGTCTGACAATAAGTTCCGATGATGTGTCATCCGATGATGTGTCATCCGATTATTATTCCTTAACATTTGCATACTCATTGCTGTCATGCATAATCTATTGTAAAGACACTTTTGTTTTTGCCTCTGTTCTCTAGAGAATTAATTTACAAATATTTTAACACCAAATTTGTAGTTATAACCCAACAAATAACTTAGAAAACATAAAATGATTTTAAACATTTTTTGCATAGCTAAGCGGCCCGTGAGCAGCCTGGGGAGCCCAGAACATTTACTTTCAGGAATGCGCGGAGAGGCTGAACTGCTAAACTATTAATGTAAACATCCCTAGAGCACTGAATTACAAAATAATAATATGTTGCATTCAGTATAATGGTATACTGTATTTACAAAACTGTAACAAAAATAAAAATCATGCCATTTATAAGAATAATGCAATAACTATGCACATTATAGGTAATGATACAATAAAAGCATGAAGCTACAAAGTATTGTAGTGCTAACTACAGTCATGCTATATACTCAGGTCATACTGTATAAAACAGATATCACTACATTACAGGGGAACTATTAGTAAGCAATTATGAGACTACATAAACTACACAGCTTGCACTAAGTGAGATACTCCTGGAGAGATGATGGCAGCATACAGGAAATGCTGGCTACCTGAAGCACTGAGGGCAGAGTCAAGCACTGATGGGAGGATATTGTAATGTACAGATGAGAGTCAACAGATTAAGCAATGTAATACAAGAAAACCAGTGAGCAATCTTTATGAGCTTAGGAACAAACTACAGGGCATTTTATCATGATAAAACCAAACATATGCTAGCTCCATGACCCGTCCTCCTCATCTAACTCCTCACATTTTTTACCAATCTGTAAAAATGTGATGTACTGTACTGTATTAGTAGAAATTAAAGCATTGTAATACAGTATTAAAATTTTCTATGCATTAACTTTGATAGATTAAGTTGGTTGCTAGGGTTAATATGTTCTGGTTAATACAAGTACAGTATGCTTGAAAAGAAAGCATAAAAATCCTTTGAGCAGAGAAAGCTTATATACTTTGGCACTGGGCAAGTAGCATACATGGGAAGAACTCCAAAAAGCCAGGCAGCTGATACAGGCAGAGGGTGTAGGATCCTAACCTTAGCACCTCTAGGTGCATATTCCAGTAGCCGTCTGACTGTGGCTGCTGTTGTGGCGGCGGCGGCGGGGGGGCAGGCGGAGTGGGCCCCTCTGCGGGACTTACACCACCCCTAAGAGAGAGAAAGACACAATTACTGTACTGCATTATAAATTTAAGCAAAGATTAAGATTGCTTCATATACCTCAAAAAGTAAGCTGGAGAAACTATCCACTTTTACTCAACCAGAATGATAGACGATGACGAACTTAAGTAATTTTCCTTCTGAAGGAAAGAATGGAAAAGAATTGGAGACATTCATTATCGAGCTGAAAATAACTGCTACAGTTTGGATTACTGTGTGGTGAGTGTGATATACTGAATGAATGGGCATAAATATGGAATATACTGAAGTATCTTAATCTTAAGTCTTCCTTTCTCATGTTGCTTCCTCTGGACCGATGTCTCCTGAAACCATGAAAGTGGGAAATAAAGTAATGATGATGACGATGAATCAAAGATGTTTTAACAAGCAAATATTTGTCTAAAGATCAACGATAACACAGTAGGGTTATATAAATACTGTAATGTTGAAGGAATGTATATGTATGCCATACATGCATTGAAATAAAAAAAACTAGATATGATAAATATAGCCACTAAAAATCTCCCATTTGAAAAGGTAAATTTTAATACTGTAGTATCATCTACAAAAATAAAAATAAATAAAAATATTATGAATCTGTCAACAAGTACAATTATATAATCAGTTATACCATAATTTCTTATACAGTACGTGAATAATGCAGTTTACAGTATTCACTCTGTGTTGGTTACTTGCCACACGTAAATAAGTTTCACACATTACATGGAAAATTTCTTTTTTGGGCTATTCTATCGTGTTGAAAATGATGAATTGCAAATGGAGATGAGAACTGTATGCTAAGAAATGACTCATGAAGAGTAAACCATGACATGCAGAGGTGACTTAAGTGCCAAGAAACCTGACTTGTACATTGAAAAATGACTTGCCAAGTCTTGGTACGTAATAGTGAGGTTGATGTGACTAGACCAGACATTCAAAGAAGAGTTGAACAAGCTGGACACTCACTAATACAGAGGCATGTGTGATATCACTGTCCATGTAACCTATTTACCAGATCTCAACCATGTCAGACAGTTATAAGTTATTTGAATACATATTAATATTTCTGTAAACATTAGATTTTAATTTTATAAATAATTGAAACAAGAGACCCTAGAGCCACCAATTTCCTCTTTCTGCACCTTAGTGTGGTGATACAAAGAGGGAACGCACACTGCATCCATGGTTCCTGCCCGCTATCTGAGGAGCTGGAAGAACTCGACAACCTGTGACAACTAGCCTTGTATGTAACCAATGTTGTAACCCATTTTGTGTAATGAAGTTTTAATAAAATAAAATGACAAAATACACAATATATAGGGGGTGGTAGGAGAAGACAATATGCAAGTGTATAAGGGTGCCCCACAAGGCTTCCCGAGATGCTATATATTATCTTCTTTGAGATCAAGGGGTCCCTAGAAGCACAACCAGATGTGGCATCCCCTATTTATTATAAAAATATAGACTGTATATACCACGTCTGACTGGATGAAGGGGACCCTTAGCCTCGGAGAAAAGCACACATAACACATTAGAAGGGATGTTTAGGTCCCCTTCAATACAGTTTCTATGTTGTTTTCTCCTACCACCCCAATCCTTTTGTGTTTTGCTGTGCTTTATTAGATAATTATAGGTTACAAGATGTACATTAGTTAATACAATGAATGTTTAAAGGTTATGGATCACTTGGAACTCCTTCGCTTCCAGACAGGAACCGAGGACGAAGCAAGCGTTTCCCTTCTGTATCGTATATATATACACGTACTGTATATATATATTATATATATGTGGATGCCCCACAAGATTCTCCAGATGCCACATATCATCTTCTTTGAGGCCGAGGATCCCTACAAATACAACCAGAAGTGGTACCCCCTATATCTATATATATTGTACATATATGGAATACTGTATTACACAATATATATATATATATATATATATATATATATATATATATATATATATATATATATATATATATATATATATATATATATGTATTGGACTCTATTGGACTATATGTATATATATATATATATATATGTATGTATATATAAACTGTATTGGAGGGGACCCACATTCCCTCCAATGCGTTATGTGTGGTTTCCTCCGAGGCTATGGGTCCCCCTTCTTCCAGCCAGAGGTGGTACTCCCTTCCCTTTATATATATATATATATATATATATATATATATATATATATATATATATATATATATATATATATATATATATATATATATATATATACTGTATATATATATATATATATATATATATATATATATATATATATATATATATATATATATATATATATATATATATATATATTACAAAACTATGAACGAACCAACTCACACACCTGGATACTGACTTACCTAGACAATTATTGATTTGCATACTTGGCCACTGACACATTTTTGTACTGACTTAGACACCTGACAACTGACTTTACAGCTGTTGCTGCTGTTGTTTTAGATTTAGCTACTCGGAACAAAAAGTTGCAAGTAGCACGGACTATGGTGAGCCCGTCGTACTCACCTGGAACAGATGTGTGCTTTACACCTCCAAAGAGGAGACTTACATACTAGTGCACTGACTTAAGTGTATGCACACCTGGCCACTGACACACCTGACCACTGACTTTACAGCCCATGGAAGAGACTTACATGTTGAGATGTGACTGTGGGTCACTGGGGTCCGGGCTGGCGGGGGTTGGGTGACCATCCAACACCTCCATTCTACTGCTGCCCTCCCGCGCCACCACCTGCAACACCAACAATATATCAGTCAACTATGCAATAATACAATATATTTAACAACTATGCAATAATTTAAAGTTATTGCATAGTTGCAATAGTACAGTCGAACCCGACTGTACTATAAGGTCCTAATAGTACAGTCGAGTTCGCTATCAACTCACAATAGAAAATTCCGGGTTCGAATCTCGGGCGGGACAGAAATGGCTGGGTACATTTCCTGTCACCTAATGCACCTGTTCACCTAGCATTAAGTAGGTTCCCAGGAGTTAGTCAGCTTATTGTGGGGTTGCATCCTGGGCAGGGTCAGTAATTTGACTTTTGGGGAAGGGGGACCTCAATATAAGCCTAACATGTATGAATACACTCTGGCTGCCTGTCCCCTTTGACACAATGAATTAAAATGTAGTAACCATACTATGTCAAAATCATCATTGCAGTAGGAGCAAATCAAAGTATCAAAAGTGTAATATCATGAGTTTCTGTTTCATTGGAAGACAAACTACAGTATAATCTACGAGTGCATGTGTGTGTATCTTACCTAGTTGTACTCATCTAGTTGTGTTTGCGGGGGTTGAGCTCTGGCTCTTTGGTTCCTCCTCTCAACCGTCATACCGTCGCCTCGCACACACACGTGTGTGTGTGTGTGTGTGTGTGTGTGTGTGTGTGTATGTGTGTTTGTGTGTATTCACCTAGTTGTGTTTGCGGGGGTCGAGCTTTGCTCTTACGGCCCGCCTCTCAACTGTCAATCAACTGTTTACTAACTACTTCTCTCTCTTTCTCTCTCTCCACACCACACACATACCTGGGACACACACATCCCAGGAAGCAGCCAGTGACAGCTGACTAACTCCCAGGTACCTATTTACTGTTTGGTAACAGGGGCATTCAGGGTGAAAGAAACTTTACCCATTTGTTTCTGCCTGGTGCGGGAATCGAACCCGTGCCACAGAATTACGAGTCCTGCGCGATATCCACCAGGCTATCAGGCCCCCCCCCCGTGTGTGTGTGTGTGTGTGTGTGTGTGTGTGTGTGTGTGTGTGTGTGTGTGTGTGTGTGTGTGTGTGTGTGTGTGTGTGTGTGTGAGTTCTATATGCTATAAAGTAATCAAGTTACAATAGTGAAATAATAACAGATCAAATAACAATAGAATTAATAACAATTATTATCTTAAAAATACTAAGTTATAACTATGTAATATACGACACAAAAATTGCAGAAAAAAATATATGTATGTATATACATATACATATATATATATATCAGATTACCAACACTTAATACCCAGAAAGGGTAAAAATAAATAGCAAATTCAAACTGTAATGATAATATTAATACGAGATATATATTAATTGCAAACAATTGCAAAGAATTAAAAGAGTTGTATTCCCAGGGTCCTGTACAGGTGGTTAACAAGTACAATACACTGAAAAAAGAAGTTGTGGAAACCACCTCCATCCACATCTTTAAGGCCAGATTCAACAAATAATTCAAAATGTCACAATATTGAAATTGTAACCCAACAGATGTAACAAGGCTAGGAAGCAGGTTTATATGAATATTTAAATTGTACTAAACCTGTCACCTGTGGATCACATGAATAAATATCACCATTAAAGTTTTCAACGTTTCATTTCAATAATAATAATAATAATAATAATAATAATAATAATAATAATAATAATAATAATAATAATAATAATAATAATAATAGGCTGCGACAGGAGTCTAGCAAACACTGGCCGGTCGGCATAATTTCAATTATTAAATAAAACTGGGTGACCAAATACCAGCTGATGGACTATTGTGTACTGCTCTCTTCTGTGGTGTGTGTGTCACTGTCTCCTGTAAGAGAGAGACACACATAATGGGAAGACATATTCTGAGGTGGGCAAGGCTGGCTGGTGGGGCGGCCCGCTACAATACACCATTCACGTTCATTCACTACAAGAAAAAAAACTGGCCCCGTCTCTCTCTTGTGACATGATGTAACTGTGAGAAAGTTCAGTGGACGTGTCTTCCATAATTGTCATTGGCTACTCTAACTTCTACTACTATAACTTCTACTACAACTACTACTGCTATTAGATCTACTACAACTGCTACTAATACTGCAGCTATTTCTACTCTTTTAAATTCTAATACAGGAGTGCAGTTGTTACTATAACTTCAATTGCTTCTACTCCCATGTATTATTAGTACTGCAATTTCAACTGTTACAATTTCTACTACTTCTACAACACTACTATTTCTACTCTCAGAATGATTTCTACAGTGTTTACTATTGTCTTTATTGCTACTACTACTACTATTACTACTACTACTACTATTAATAATAATAATAGAAAGAAGAATAAAGGAAACTGTAGAATGTCTACTGACCTAAACTTATTTTGAGGGGGGTCAGAACGCTTTACTAATGGAACACACATACACACACACACACACACACACACACACACACACACACACACACACACACACACACACACACACACACATGCCTTGTCAAGCACAAACCTAAGCTGGAAAAAGTTCAGAGGTATGCCACTATGCTAGTCTCAGAACTAAGAGAGTTACGAGGAAAGGCTGCGTGAAATGCACCTCACGTCACTGGAAGACAGGAGAGCTTGGGGAGACATGATCACAACCTACAAAATTCTAAGAGGAATCGACAGGGTAGATAAACTGTTTAACACGGGTGGTACGCGAACAAGGGGACACAGGTGGAAACTGAGTACCCACATGAGCCACAGGGACGTTAGAAAGAACTTTTTCAGTGTCAGAGTAGTTAAAAGATGGAATGCATTAGGCAGTCATGTGGTGGAGGCTGACTCCATACACAGTTTCAAATGTAGATATGATAGAGCCCAGTAGGCTCAGGAACCTGTACACCAGTTGATTGACAGTTGAGAGGCGGGACCAAAGAGCCAATGAGTTCAACCCCCGCAAGCACAACTAGGTGAGTACACACACACACACACACACACACAATGCATTTAAATACATGGATGGCGATATACTAAAGAAATTGTTCATGACTTTTGTTAGGCCAAAGCTTGAATATGCAGCTGTTGTGTGGTGCCCATATCTTAAGAAGCACATCAACAAACTGGAAAAGGTGCAAAGACATGCTACTAAGTGGCTCCCAGAACTGAAGGGCAAGAGCTACGAGGAGAGGTTAGAAGCATTAAATATGCCAAAACTAGAAGACAGAAGAAAAAGAGGTGATATGATCACTACATACAAAATAGTAACAGGAATTGATAAAATCGACAGGGAAGACTTCCTGAGACCTGGAATTTCAAGAACAAGAGGTCATAGATTTAAACTAGCTAAACACAGATGCCGAAGAAATATAAGAAAATTCACCTTCGCAAATAGAGTGGTAGACGGTTGGAACAAGTTAAGTGAGAAGGTGGTGGAGGCCAAGACCGTCAGTAGTTTCAAAGCGTTATATGACAAAGAGTGCTGGGAAGACGGGACACCACGAGCGTAGCTCTCATCCTGTAACTACACTTAGGTAATTACACTTAGGTAATTACACACACACACACACACACACCATGTATTTGTGCCACATAGTGATCACTCAATATACTAATCACGCTCTCATAAATGTACGCATATCCCTGGAACATTTCATTTCCAGGAGTGACATGGGCTCTTCCATAAATCCCTAAATATCTCTATAAATATGTATCTCTCGCGTATCCCCTATACTGGATCACCCGCCCCTTCTCGACCCTATTTGCTATATATATACATTTCAGTGCATAATTTAATGCATAAATCTAAAAATTAAAACTTGTATATTGACGCTACCCAATTTATTAAATTAACAAAGAACGTTAGAAGGTATAGATGTGTGAAAATATTATAGTGTGTGTGTGTGTGTGTGTGTGTGTGTGTGTGTGTGTGTGTGTGTGTGTGTGTGTGTGTGTGTGTGTGTGTGTGTGTGTGTGTGTGTATATAGAGGGGGGGTGTTAATATGCGTGAGTAACGAGCCTATATTATCTCTATGTAGAGTTCCTTAAATTTTAAATAATCGATAATTACTATATTATCGTTGTCTTATAACAGAGATGATATATTCGTATTATTTTTATTTAGTTCCATGTAACAATAAAAACTTATTATACATTTATTAGTTAGTATTTATGATCTTCCGGCGAGTGGCAAAACCGTTCTCAGTCACATACATTTGGCGATAAAAAGTTTTCAATGGTCATTGTTACATTTTATTTATTATCTAATACACGAAATACATAGAGAGTATATTGTTTTATTGTAGCCTTGTGAAACATTTTTCAGAAAGTTTGGCGCGCGCGGGAAAGAGGGGGTGGGAGGGAGGAGGTCAGTTCTCTGGCGACACGTGGCAACTGCCCGCTTGATTATACCCCGCCCACCTTTACTCTCCCGATGGGATTTTATTTTCGCGTTGATTACATTCCCGGCTTCATTTACATGTTGGTTGCGCGTGTCACACTCTGGTTTTTCCGGCGAGTGCCATCGTGACAGGTTATTAATATAATGCATGATTTTGTTTTTGGGTTGGGGGGGGGGGGACACGTTTGTCAATTTTTTTTTCTTTTAAGGCTGAAATTTATATCGGCCAAAATTTTCCGTTCGAAGCATTTCCCGGGAAGTTCAAAGTTAGATAAATATAATTGACACAAAATTTAAAAGTCTAAAAAGTTTCAAGTTGATCCGAAAACATTTTAAATATAATAATTAAAAAATATATAAGGTATCCCTTCAGGACATATTTTGTACATTCGAGTTCTTTAACCTAATCATAATAAAATTACAAAACCAAAAAATAACAGACCTAACTGATTTGAACAAACAACAACAATAACCAAAGCTACTGAATACACCCAGATTTTAAATAGCTAATTTTATAACTTATATTTACACTGTTTTTAATACTCAACATAAAATAGAAGTTGACGTCAATTTGCAAGACGCGCGCTACGATACTCAGCATTAAATAGCGCTATGAATACTAAGCTTAAATTTCCAGTTCTATAAA